AGGCTGAAAATCAAACTGGAAGGGTACGGAATTCGGGGAAATGTCCTAGCATGGATAGAAGACTTTCTACATGACCGCAAGGAGTGCGTGGTGATTAATGGCACGAAATCGTCATCTGTACCTGTCACAAGTGGGGTACCACAGGGCAGTGTATTAGGCCTGCTGTTGTTTGTTTGTTTCATAAATGACATGCCTGATGTTGTACACTCCTCCATACAAATGTATACCGATGACGCCAAGTAGTAGGTAGTAGGCAACTACCAAACAGGGAGGTACTACTGCCTGGGAAGATATTGGAAGCATAATGTGTTGTCTAATGGTAGACCCTGTTGCCATATGGCATCACGAAAATTGTGACCAAGTCCCAGGTTGCTGATCTGACTTTCTACTTCATTTACATGCAAATGCAGGGTCTCAATTGTTTCTCTTACCATTGACAACACAACATACATATATCGTTTCTCACTTTTGATCTTTTTTTCATTTTTGTATTTATAGTTCTCTATTATTAATATTATTATTATTACAGTTACTGTATTATTATCATTATTTTATTATTTTATTTTTGTTTGTTTTATCATAAATTTTATTTATTATGAATTATTATGACTATTATTTATTTTTATTATTATTATTATTATTATTATTATTATTATTATTATTATTATTATTATTATTACATTTTCGCCCCCCAGGCCCTGATGTGGGTCAGTGACCTGTGTCCGGGTGGGCTAATCCCCATAAAAAAAAAAAAAAATTTCGGGAAATTACGAACCAAGCGGACTGTGAAGAAATGCAGAAGGATCTCTGTGGGCTCCAGGAATGATCGAAGAAATGGCTGCTGAGATTCAATGTCACAAAGTGTAAGAGGATGCACCTGGGACGTACCAACGGTAAGGAGGCGTATCATATGTCCCAACGGGATGAAGAAACTGCACCAGTTGAGACTGTATGTGAGAAGGAACTAGGTGTGTATGTTGACAATGAGCTGAAGTTCTCGGGCCATTGCGAGAAGAAGGTAAATCAGGTAAATAAATTATTGGGTCTTATAAGAAGGTCGTTCAGATATCTAGACGGTCCGTCCCACGTAACAATCTTCAGGAGTGAAGTGCTTCCCCATCTGGAGTACTGTCACCCCATCTGGTCCCCGAGATATGCTAGCGACTGTAAGTTGGTTGAAAATGTTCAAAGGAGGGCCACCAGACTGGTGCCTGCACTTCGGCACCTCAGCTACCCTGAGAGATTGGAGCACCTGAACTTGCCTAGCTTATACTACAGACGGGCAAGGGGGGACCTAGATGAAGTGCACAAGCATCTCGGGGCACTACTCAGACGAGTGTCCTTACTTGGAGCCGGCGGACGCTCGCCCCACAAGGGGTGGGGGTCACAGCTCAAGATTAAAGAAGCCGCAAGTCCAGAAAACTGTGAGGGCAAACTTTTTCTGAGTGAGGGTTGTAAACTCTTGGAACAATCTACCAGTGTGTGTTGTGACGGCACCGAGTGTGAGCTCTTTCAAGACAAGACTTGACCAACACTGGAGCGGGTTCAGATACATTCAGGAGCCGGTGCATGCCCAGTATTTGCCAAGAGTGCGTGAGAGACGTGACCGATCGCCCAGGCGGCTAGCGAGCCGACCTTTTGGTGAAGAGGATAAATGAAAAGGAAAAGTAATCAGAGACGTGACCGATCGCCTAAGTGGCTAACGAGCCGATCAGTGGCGATGAGGATAAAATATATATATAAAAATATATGGCATGAGAGAAGAGGCACGTCTGCAACAAGTAATACCCAAACATGGACCGAGTGCACTGCAGCTTTGTTGTGATGTGGGTGGAACCACATGGCCCACGCCGCATTGCTTCGCCAACGATGACAAAAATAGGGTAGAAAATTTAACCCCCAAAAATAAAGATTCTTGTTGTTCCTCAGGTGGACTGGTACTCAGGGGTTATACTATATTTATGTTAATGAAAAATCTTATGAAGAAAAGGTAACGCTAACAGGAGATGATGACTTTGCTCAAGGGACACGGGCACCGGTAGAAATAAATAATGTATATAAATAAATGTATGTGTGTAAATGTGTGAGTGTGTGTGCATCATTTTAATTACAACCACTTTGCACTTGAGTAGGGAAAACAGGAAGAGGCTTGAAAGAAACTGAGAACATAAGATGCTCACGCACACACAAAATGCCCTTACCAAAATAAACTTCAATACTCCATACTCTGAAAGAGAAAAAAAATAATTACCTTAGCATTAGAAGAGAGGTCCTGGTTGAAACGCTGCAATGCTTCGACGCGTTTATCAGGACCCATCCGCATGTACTTACTTAGATCCTTCATCATATTAAAGTCTGACTTCATGATGTCTGTCAGTCCTGTCAGAGCACACAATTCTGGCACAAGGTAAATATTTCCTAAACCTCTTCTTAAATCTCTCTTCTTAGGTTTTGACATGAGCATTGGCTGCTTTACATCTTTGATCCTAACTTGGTAATTCTGTTGGAAGCAAATATAAAATAAAAATTAGCAAAATAAAATTTTAGGTACGACACCCCCCCTCCTCCCCTTTTTTTTTTTTTTAACAGGGATTAGCCCACCTGAGCACAGGTCATTGACCCACATCAGGGCCTAGGTGGGGAAAAAAATAAATAATATAATTAGAAATAAATAAAAATTATAATAAAAATGAAAATAAAATAAACATAATACAAAAATTGAAAATAATTAATCATGAGCAAGAAACGATACACAGTATGCATGTTTGTGTTGGCGATAGTAAGAGAAACAATTGAGACCCTGCAAGTGTGTGTAAATGAGGCAGAAAGTCAGATCAGAAACCTGGAACTTGGTCACAACTTTTGTGATGTAGTAGGTAGTAGGCAGCTACCAAACAGGGAGGCACTACCGCCTGGGAAGATATTGGAAGCATAATGTGTTGTCTATTGGTAGACCCTGCTGCTATATGGCATTACGAAAATTGTGACCAAGTCCCAAGTTGCTGATCTAGCTTTCTACCTCATTTACACACAATTGCAGGGTCTCAACTGTCTCTCTTACTATTGACAACACCACAACTAAAACCGTACTCATTCTTTATCTGTTTTATTCATTCTATTTTATTCTCCTATGTCAGTTGATATTAATACTGAAGCGGGGCCTTCTCGGATGGGTCCCACTGGTCGGGAAGGTTGTGGACCCCAGGGCCGACCTGATCATCATCAAGCTACTGGGGCCTCAACTGACGCCACTATGTTGCTGGAGGATCGGCTTTTTTCACACTTCATTTTTCCAACATTCGCGGGCTGAGATCCAATTTTTCTTCTGTGGAGCACCATCTATCAACCTCTTCCCCCGACCTCTTACTACTCTCCGAACTTCAACTGACCAAAGCAGCTTCACCCAAACCTTTTCAAGTCTCTAACTACAACCTTTATACCTACTTCCGTTCTAAGGGAGGTGTATGCGCCTACTGCAATACACGTACACCTATAGCCCGACTCACGGATCTTGAATCTCCCCTTTATGATGTCATCTGGCTCAAAATATCTCTACCTACTGTGACTATTTTTCTTTGTTTCTTATACTGTTCTCCCAATTCTACCAACTACTTCGAACTCCTTGACTATCTCACTTCTTGCCATGAGTCGTTGCTATCCACACATCCCTACACCGAGATCCTCTACCTAGGAGATTTCAATGTACATCACAACATCACAGAGAGTGGCTTGGCTCTGCAAGGGATGACCCAGGTGGAGCTGAGGCACTCTCTTTTTCCTTACTTAATGATTTGGAACAAATAATCAAACACCCTGCACGCGTTCCTGATCGACACAATCAACTTGCTAACATTCATTATCTTTGTTTTACCTCTAACCCCTCACACTATTCATACTCAATTTTTGCCCCCTTAGGGTCTTCTGATCACAACCTTATTTCTATTAAATCAAACTGGGCACAACCACCTCCCCCACCCCCCTCTAAACGTCAACTATGGCATTATAGGAGGGCAAGCTGGCAATCCTTGCGAGAATTCTTCACCGACTTTCCTTGGGATGAATGTTGCTTTTCCACTCGGGATGCCTCGGTATGTGCTGACAGCATTGCTGGGGTTATACAGGGCGGTATGAGTGCATTTATCCCATCTTCTACCATAACTTTCACATTACAATCATGGTTTGATCACTCCTGCTCTCTTGCTTGCAGGGTGAGATAGGGCATATCAAGCTATAAAACTATCTCCTTCTCCTATTACCCACACCTCTTTCATTACTTCTAGGAATCGTTGTAAGGCTATTCTTCGTAGGGCCAAGCGGAATTTTATTAAAAGAAAGACCGCTGTCCTGACTAATTCTTCCTCTAGTAAATCCTTCTGGTCCTTAACTAAAATCATCTGTAACAACTTCTGCATGCCTTCTTTTCCTCCCCTCTTCCATCCCAATAACTCTATAGCCAACTCTCCCACTGACAAAGCCAACCTCTTTGGCACCTTATTCTCCTCTAATTCCACCTTAGACGATTCCCACTCTATCCCTCCTACCCCTGCACCTCCTACTGAACCTATGCGCTTTCCTATAATCTCCACTCGCAGGGTTGCCAGTGTGTTATCCAGGTTGGATGTGAGTAAGGTGCATGGACCGGACGGAATACCCCCTCATGTTCTGAGGGAGTGTGCTGAAGCCCTGGCCCCTGTGCTTGCTCGCCTCTTTCGCCTTTGTCTCAAAACCCAAACTTTTCCTTCTTCATGAAAGCATGCCTTCGTTCAGCCCATCCCGAAGAAGGGTGACCATTCTAATCCTTCTAACTATCGCCCCATTGCCCAAACTTCATCCCTCTCTAAGAATTTCGAAACTATCTTGAACTCCCATTTTCTCCGTCACCTTGAATGCCTTTCTCTTTTGTCGGATCACCAGTATGGCTTTCGCCAGGCGAGATCTACTGGAGATCTGCTCTCCTATTGCACCCATCTTTGGTCATCCTCTCTTAGGGATTATGGGGAAACTTTTGTCGTGGCTATCGACATCTCCAAAGCATTTGACAGGGTATGGCACAAGTCTTTGTTATCTAAACTTCCCTCTTTTGGTTTCTCTCCCCCACTTTGTTTTCTCCTCTCTAGCTTCCTTGAGAACCAATCCATGGCAGTTGTTGTCGAGGGATCGATTTCTCGCTCTTTCTCTACCAGTAGTGGCGTCCCACAGGGTTCTATTCTTTCACCAACTCTCTTCCTTCTTTTTATCAATGATTTACTTCACACTACAACTAATTCTATCCATTCTTACACTGATGATTCTACTCTTCACTCTTCCTCACATTTTCCCCTTCCAACTAACTCTCAAACTAGATCTGTCTCTAGAACTGATATCATTACTTCTATCAACGCGGATCTGTGCAGCATCTCTGAATGGGGAGATACAAACTTGGTTAAATTCAATAGTAATAAAACTCAATATTTACCAATTACACTTTGTAAATTAGACGATCTCCCACCAATTATATTTCAAGACGCTATCATCCTCCCAAATTCCGAAATAAATGTTAGGCCTCACCATTTCCTCCAATATGTTCTGGAAATCACACATCCTTAGTATAACTAAAGCTGCCTCCCGAAAGTTGGGAATGCTGCTCTTCTTCTGTCCAACAACAGTGACCCCTCGTTTAACGAACACCTCGGTTAACGAACTGCCTTCCATAAGGATCTTTAATTCGGTTAACGAAAAAAAATTCGGTTAACGAAGTTCTTACGAACCGACCTCAACATGTTTTCGCTTGCACTGACCGGGCAACCAGCTTTAGTATCAGTCCGCCAATACATTAATCGGTTCTAGGGCTTAAATTCCTTACTATTTTAGTAAATATCAAGAAGTTTATACTATTCAATAATTTTAAAAGTTTAATATTAAATTTTCTAGTCATTTTAACAATTATTGAACAAAATTGAAGGTAAAGTGACTAGTTTAATGCGCGGCATCCAGCCTCTTAACACAGCAAACAGGCGTTAGTCTCTCTCTGTTTTCACTGGAGGTAACATCTTGCTTGACTCTCTTCAACTAAACACTTTTTTTCTGTGTTTCCAAGCAAATTATTGGTCATTTTGAAATTTATTTTACATATTGACAATATATAGTGCAGTGCAGTGTTATTTTAAAGAAAATATTCTTTATTTACAGCTAGTTTAACTCTGAAAAATACGTGTTGACATTGTTTGAATCCAGCATGGGGCCCAAGAGATCAAGAAAAGCAATTTCAATCCAAATAAAGCAGGAAATAATAAAAAAACACGAACAAGGCATTAAATCAAATGCGCTATGCAAAGAATATGGCATGTCGGCATCAACTGTGTCGACAATTCTTGCACAAAAAGACAAATTTAAAGAAGTGAACGTGAGAGACAAATCTACAAGAGTGTTTAAAAGTAGATCCCTAATCGTAGAAACTGAGAGGTTACTTATCATCTGGATTAGGGAAAAACAGATGAAAGGTGATTCAGTTTCTGGTGATTTCATTTGTGAAAGAGCCAGGGAGATTTATGAACATTTAAAGGCAGATCAACCTGGTTCTTCAGGAACAGAATTTGAAGATTTTCGGGCTAGCAAAGGCTGGTTCGAAAAATTTAAGAAAAGAAGTGACATTTTAAGTGTTGTTAGGCATGGTGAAGCTGCTAGTGCTGATAAATAAGGGGCAGCAAAGTTTTTAGTTGAATTTAAAAAACTGATGGAAGAAGAAAATTATCTTCCACAGCAAGTGTTCAATGTGGACGAAACTGGGCTGTTCTGGAAAAAGATGCCCAAAAGAACATTCATCACCAAAGATGAAGCCTCTTTACCTGGGCATAAACCCATGAAAGACCGTCTCACTCTATTGCTTGGTGCCAATGCTTCAGGGGATTTCCGACTGAAGCCTATGCTTGTCTACCACTCTAAAAACCCCAGGGTGTTCAAGCAACAGAAAGTGGTAAGAACAAAGCTTGAAGTTTATTGGAAGTCCAACCGTAAGGCATGGGTGACAAGACAGCTCCTTAATGAATGGGCTGTTGATGTGTTTTGCCCCTCTGTCAAGAGCTACCTAACCACCAATAAACTTCCTTTAAAGGCTCTTCTCCTCATGGAAAATGCTCCTGGTCATGACCCTGACCTTGCCAGCAATTTGGAGTATCAATTTGACTTTGTGAAAGTGTTGTTTTTGCCTCCAAACACTACATCAATCATACAGCCAATGGACCAGAATGTAATCAGCAACTTCAAGAAGTTGTACATGAAGAAAATGTTTAGGAGGTGTCATCAGGCAACTTCCACTGATCCTGAACTAACACTGAAACAGTTCTGGAAGACACAATTCAACGTCCTGGAGGCTGTAAAATTGATTGTGTCATCATGGCAAGAAGTCTCCAATAGAACCCTCAATTCTTCATGGAAAGCACTGTGGCCATCAGTAGTCCATGATTTTGAGGGATTTGAGGAAGAAACAGAGTTGGACCAGGAGATTGTGTCCATTGGTCAGTC